CTATGAGCTGATGAATGAGTGAATTACTGTTACTATGAGCTGATGAATGAGTGAGTGAATTACTGTTACTATGAGCTGATGAATGAGTGAGTGAATTACTGTTACTATGAGCTGATGAATGAGTGAGTGTATTACTGTTACTATGAGCTGATGAATGAGTGTATTACTGTTACTATGAGCTGATGAATGAGTGAGTGAATTACTGTTACTATGAGCTGATGAATGAGTGAGTGTATTACTGTTACTATGAGCTGATGAATGAGTGTATTACTGTTACTATGAGCTGATGAATGAGTGAGTGTATTACTGTTACTATGAGCTGATGAATGAGTGAGTGTATTACTGATACTATGAGCTGATGAATGAGTGAGTGTATTACTGTTACTATGAGCTGATAAATGAGTGAGTGTATTACTGTTACTATGAGCTAATGAATGAGTGAGTGTATTACTGTTACTATGAGCTGATGAATGAGTGGTGAATTACTGTTACTATGAGCTGATGAATGAGTGAGTGAATTACTGTTACTATGAGCTGATGATTGAGTGAATTACTGTTACTATAAGCTGATGAATAAGTGAGTGAATTACTGTTACTATGAGCTGATAAATGAGTGAGTAAATTACTGTTACTATGAGCTGATGAATGAGTGAGTGTATTACTGTTACTATGAGCTGATGAATGAGTGAGTGAATTACTGTTACTATGAGCTGATGAATGAGTGAGTAAATTACTGTTACTATGAGCTGATGAATGAGTGAGTGTATTACTGTTACTATGAGCTGATGAATGAGTGAGTGTATTACTGTTACTATGAGCTGATGAATGAGTGAATTACTGTTACTATGAGCTGATGAATGAGTGAGTGAATTACTGTTACTATGAGCTGATGAATGAGTGAGTGAATTACTGTTACTATGAGCTGATGAATGAGTGAATTACTGTTACTATGAGCTGATGAATGAGTGAATGTATTACTGTTACTATGAGCTGATGAATAAGTGAGTAAATTACTGTTACTATGAGCTGATGAATGAGTGAGTGAATTACTGTTACTATGAGCTGATGAATGAGTGAGTAAATTACTGTTACTATGAGCTGATGAATGAGTGAGTGTATTACTGTTACTATGAGCTGATGAATGAGTGAGTGTATTACTTTTACTATGAGCTGATGAATGAGTGAGTGTATTACTGTTATTATGAGCTGATGAATGAGTGAGTGTATTACTGTTACTATGAGCTGATAAATGAGTGAGTGTATTACTGTTATTATGAGCTGATGAATGAGTGAGTGTATTACTGTTATTATGAGCTGATGAATGAGTGAGTGTATTACTGGTATTATGAGCTGATGAATGAGTGAGTGTATTACTGTTATTATGAGCTGATGAATGAGTGAGTGTATTACTGTTACTATGAGCTGATGAATGAGTGAATTACTGTTACTATGAGCTGATGAATGAGTGAGTAAATTACTGTTACTATGAGCTGATGAATGAGTGAGTGTATTACTGTTACTATGAGCTGATGAATGAGTGAGTGAATTACTGTTACTATGAGCTGATGAATGAGTGAGTGTATTACTGTTACTATGAGCTGATGAATGAGTGTATTACTGTTACTATGAGCTGATGAATGAGTGAGTGTATTACTGTTACTATGAGCTGATGAATGAGTGAGTGTATTACTGATACTATGAGCTGATGAATGAGTGAGTGTATTACTGTTACTATGAGCTGATAAATGAGTGAGTGTATTACTGTTACTATGAGCTAATGAATGAGTGAGTGTATTACTGTTACTATGAGCTGATGAATGAGTGAGTGTATTACTGTTATTATGAGCTGATGAATGAGTGAGTGTATTACTGTTACTATGAGCTGATGAATGAGTGAATTACTGTTACTATGAGCTGATGAATGAGTGAGTAAATTACTGTTACTATGAGCTGATGAATGAGTGAGTGTATTACTGTTACTATGAGCTGATGAATGAGTGAGTGAATTACTGTTACTATGAGCTGATGAATGAGTGAGTGAATTACTGTTACTATGAGCTGATGAATGAGTGAGTGTATTACTGTTACTATGAGCTGATGAACGAGTGAGTGAATTACTGTTACTATGAGCTGATGAATGAGTGAGTAAATTACTGTTACTATGAGCTGATGAATGAGTGAATTACTGTTACTATGAGCTGATGAATGAGTGAATTACTGTTACTATGAGCTGATGAACGAGTGAGTGAATTACTGTTACTATGAGCTGATGAATGAGTGAGTGTATTACTGTTACTATGAGCTGATGAATGAGTGAGTGAATTACTGTTACTATGAGCTGATGAATGAGTGAGTGTATTACTGTTACTATGAGCTGATGAATGAGTGAGTGTATTACTGTTACTATGAGCTGATGAATGAGTGAGTGTATTACTGTTACTATGAGCTGATGAATGAGTGAGTGAATTACTGTTACTATGAGCTGATGAATGAGTGAGTAAATTACTGTTACTATGAGCTGATGAATGAGTGAATTACTGTTACTATAAGCTGATGAATGAGTGAGTGTATTACTGTTACTATGAGCTGATGAGTGAGTGAATTACTGTTACTATGAGCTGATGAATGAGTGAGTGTATTACTGTTACTATGAGCTGAGGAATGAGTGAGTGTATTACTGTTACTATGAGCTGATGAATGAGTGAGTGTATTACTGTTACTATGAGCTGATGAATGAGTGAGTGTATTACTGTTACTATGAGCTGATGAATGAGTGAGTGAATTACTGTTACTATGAGCTGATGAATGAGTAAGTGAATTACTGTTACTATGAGCTGATGAATGAGTGAGTGTATTACTGTTACTATGAGCTGATGAACGAGTGAGTAAATTACTGTTACTATGAGCTGATGAATGAGTGAGTAAATTACTGTTACTATGAGCTGATGAATGAGTGAGTGAATTACTGTTACTATGAGCTGATGAATGAGTGAATTACTGTTACTATGAGCTGATGAATGAGTGAGTAAATTACTGTTACTATGAGCTGATGAATGATTGAGTGTATTACTGTTACTATGAGCTGATGAATGAGTGAGTGAATTACTGTTACTATGAGCTGATGAATGAGTGAGTGTATTACTGTTACTATGAGCTGATGAATGAGTGAGTGAATTACTGTTACTATGAGCTGATGAATGAGTGAGTGAATTACTGTTACTATGAGCTGATGAATGAGTGAGTGTATTACTGTTACTATGAGCTGACGAATGAGTGAGTGAATTACTGTTACTATGAGCTGATGAATGAGTGAGTGAATTACTGTTACTATGAGCTGATGAATGAGTGAGTGTATTACTGTTACTGTGAGCTGATGAATGAGTGAGTGTATTACTGTTACTATGAGCTGATGAATGAGTGAGTGTATTACTGTTACTATGAGCTGATGAATGAGTGAATGTATTACTGTTACTATGAGCTGATGAATGAGTGAATTACTGTTACTATGAGCTGATGAATGAGTGAGTGTATTACTGTTACTATGAGCTGATGAATGAGTGAGTGAATTACTGTTACTATGAGCTGATGAATGAGTGAGTAAATTACTGTTACTATGAGCTGATGAATGAGTGAATTACTGTTACTATGAGCTGATGAATGAGTGAGTGTATTACTGTTACTATGAGCTGATGAATGAGTGAATTACTGTTACTATGAGCTGATGAATGAGTGAGTGTATTACTGTTACTATGAGCTGATGAATGAGTGAGTAAATTACTGTTACTATGAGCTGATGAATGAGTGAATTACTGTTACTATGAGCTGATGAATGAGTGAGTAAATTACTGTTACTATGAGCTGATGAATGAGTGAATTACTGTTACTATGAGCTGATGAATGAGTGAGTGTATTACTGTTACTTTGAGCTGATGAATGAGTGAGTAAATTACTGTTACTATGAGCTGATGAATGAGTGAATTACTGTTACTATGAGCTGATGAATGAGTGAGTAAATTACTGTTACTATGAGCCGATGAATGAGTGAATTACTGTTACTATGAGCTGATGAATGAGTGAGTGTATTACTGTTACTATGAGCTGATGAATGAGTGAGTGTATTACTGTTACTATGAGCTGATGAATGAGTGAGTAAATTACTGTTACTATGAGCTGATGAGTGAGTGAATTACTGTTACTATGAGCTGATGAATGAGTGAGTGTATTACTGTTACTATGAGCTGATGAATGAGTGAGTGTATTACTGTTACTATGAGCTGATGAATGAGTGAGTGTTTTCTGATGATCATGATTCTCTGTTACAGGACTAAGATGGAGATGGATAAAGCACATGTGAATGAGGTGGTGCAGGCCGTCCATCGGGTGAGTGCACTAGTGTTACGTGTTTATATAGGTGTCTTATATATTTGTTATGTACACTAGTTATGAACACTCCATACCATTTGTGTAAGTGTGTTATTGCTCCATATGAGACAGACAGGATGAACACATTAATCTGCAGGTCATCATGGTGTCCGGCAGGCTGTAGAGTGGAGTGTATATGATTATATTCACGGCTCCTCCAGCAGGGGGCGACAGAACATCTTCATCAGCATTTACTCTACAGAACAGAGCCGTGTCTGCATCTGTGTGTGTGTTCTTCCTCTAGCAGCTCTCATTCAGCAGCTGACATATACACCGTTTCAGAAATCATTATGTAGTGTTTTATTTGTTGTTTTCTGGCCAAAATTAAACAGAACAATTCATCCAAAATCAAGTTTGAGTTGCTTTGATAATATATGTGTGTGCCGTGTGTGATTATTATGAGTATATAAGGACACACACGCATACATGCACTGCATATATATTTGATAAAAAAGTGTATTTATGTGTGTGTGTGTGTGTGTGTGTTTCAGCTGCAAGGCGCTCAGAATACACGGCTGGAGAGTTTGCAGAAAAAACACGAAGAGATTAAGCAGCAGATCCTGGAGGAGAAGGTGAAG